CCCCAAAACCCCAAAACCCCATAGATCAGAATATAAAGGTAAATTTAAACTTAAAATAAGGCTGATAATAAATTATATAAATAATGAAAGTTTATTAATCCTTTTAAAATACACTCAAATTTCATAGAAGCAGGCTTTTCATATACTAATAGCGTAGGACCTTTATTTTTAATAATAGCCAAGAGCCTATCAAGTATGAAACAAAGAAGATCCTACCTTATTCACAAGAAAATTTCTACAGAGTCATATCGAATGTCAAAGACTATCAGAATTTTGTACCTTATATGAGTGAGAGTAATGTCTTAGAGAACACTGTGTAAAACTAGCTTATAAATGCTAAAAATCATGGAAATTTTGACGCTGAGACTAAGATTGGGTTTTCAGCCCTTTCATTTTCCTATGTCTCTCACGTTACCTACAAAGAACCATTTTACGTGCTTTCAGAATCTTATAACAGCAGAATATTCTAAGAACTCTACTCAGAATGGGAAATAAAAAAACTAGCGAAACATTAATGTGAAGTGACTTACAAAATAAAAATGACATTCACGAATTCAATATACACATCAATTACTAACTAATTCTTTGAATTCCTGACTAAAAATATCAATTAAAGCTTTGAGTAGAGATGCTTTGAGGAGTATTACAAAGGGAAAGAAATTGATCATACTGAGGTAGAAGAACAATAAATTGATTTAAAAGAAAATGAGAATATAGTTAAGGAAATTATTGGTGATCAATCAAAGACAGATAAAAATGACACAGTCGTTGAAAAGGTATATGAAGATTAATGGATATGGGGACTTGGATCAACTTCAAAATTAAATTCAAGAAAGAAAATGCTTGTTAAGAATTAAACAGAGTCTTTCTAGAACAACTGGCTAAATTTATTTCTCTAGTCGCTTCAACCTTTGATTACCTAAGGACTCCTAAAAACAATAGACATGAATAGTTTGAAAAAGACTTTGGAATAATCAGAGAACCTTAGAATGGAAATTAAAATTATATTTGATGCATTTGGATAGTAAGAACAGTTGAAGAGAGTCTATGCTCAGCATATTCAGAGACTTTTGATGTAATAAGTTTATAATTGATTATGTGTGAGTTAAGTTAATTTAATTTTATGATTAAAATACATTCTCTCAATTAAATAGATGCAATAAATAAAATAGTCTTTGATATTGTTAGAGATTTAATTAATTAGGTCTGTATATGTGCATTAGTAAGCATAAATAAATAGTGTATTTCAAATGATGGTGCAAATAAATTTCGATCATCAACGTAAAGCAGTTGCAAAAACAGATGGAGTCTGAAAGAATTTGTTAGAGTCTGCCATTAGCAGGTCTGTGCTTGGGCATTTATTTGTGAAACCTAATGATGACTTGCTCATTGGAAGAACACCAGTAGAGGATGAGGGCTAAAAGACTTTCCAAAACCTCAAGGTTTCGTCTGCAGCCGCACTAGCTACTGTTGTTCCATCTGGGCTGAGAGCAAGATGTAATACCCTGCTTGTGTGACCTCTCAAATCTGCCACTTTCTTCATATTTGGGTATTTCCAAATAGACAGCTGATTATTGATGAATCCATGTGAGGAAAGAATTTCTTTCTCATAAGGATTCCATTGAAGGGCGCAGACTTGAGAATCTGTTTGTACTGAATTTATTAAGCTTCCCTTATCAGTGTTCCAGAACTTGATACACTGATCTCTTGAACCACCACCTGAGGCCAATAGATTTTTTTACCATGGGCACCAAGACAATGCTTTGACAGCAGCTTTATGATCTGTAAAGCAATATCGTGGGCCATACACACTAGGTGAATGAGATATATGGCTCATTTATGGAATACCTCTCATTCTATTGTTAATGTCCCAAATGCATAACAAGTTATCGTTTCCACCACTTGCTAGTTATTGTCCATCTGGGCTCCATTTTAGTCCACAGACTTCTTATCTATGAGCTTTATAGGTGCATATCATGCTTTATTAGATGGGGACTCTGACATCATTATTGTGAATGAAAGAGTCTAGAGAGCCACTTGATAGTAGAGAAGTGTGAAGAGGATTCCAAGAGAGGGAGCTGACTCTCTCGGTATGCTACCCTTCAAACGTTCTTATTCTTTCAAATTTATTTGTGTCCCAAAGATGAATTTATTTACTTTGAGTTCCAATTGCGATAACCGATCCTGATCCTTTCATCCACGAAACTGATGTAACTATATCATCATCATTCTCAGTGTCAAACAGCTGCTTAATTTCGCCACTGTCCGAATTCCATAGGTAAACTGTCTGAGCTAGGCAGACAGCTAATATATTCTCCTGACTCCAATCAAGCAAGTTGAGATAATAATCATCTTGCAAATCGGGAGCGTCTAGTATCTTTTCAGGTACTTGAGGTATATATCTTAAGCTCTTTTTTTATTTATGAGTCTTCTCTTGGGCAATTGAACTAATAAGCGACAGATTCTTTTACAGTGACATGGTAGGTTTGTCCTTCTTTTCTTTGAAGGATAAAATTCTCTATTTGGTTAGTGCAAGAGCTTTGTCATCAGTTATTTTAGATCTTAACTGTTCCTCCTCTTGAGCTTCTTTGATCGTTAAAGTGTTAGGTGACCCTCTATTGTTAGAGAATAAACTCTCTGTGATAAATTCCTGGAAAGTTTGCTTAATTTTGTTCCCCGAGCCTCTAGAGTATTGAATACCATCGGGGGAGCTAGAACTGTTGCTGCTGTAGTTACTGTTGTCTGCCATGATAGTATTTGATGTGGTTTGGTTATTGCTGTTAGAGTTTGTCGATCTCGTATTGGTAACAATATTGCTGTTGTTGTTTGTATTGTCAGTTGCTACACCGTTAATTTAATTTGACTAACGACTATTTGACCCTTATCTCTTTTTCTTTTTAGTCTCGTTGAATGGGTCATTGTTCATAATAAACTCTTCAAAGAAATTGTCTTAAGTGCCTCTAAATGGAATAAATCTATCGGCTTTATAGTTGTTACTACTACTTCTGCTTGACTTATCAGTACAAGAATCACCGCTCATGCAAGAATATCTTCCATTTGATATTGAACCTCCAGATAATATAGAAGACTTTGAGTTTGGGCATGATTTTCTGTTACCATTAACTCCACCATTACTAGCTATACTGCTGTTTTCCTTTTAACTAGTCTGGCGCATTTGTATCAAAGTATAATCAGATTACTTTGTAAAATTGTTATTTATTGAGTTTGAGCGAGTCATATTGTCGCCTATCGGTCCATGAGAGCTAGTGAGTGATTAGTAGATGGGAGGTTTGAAGGGGTTGTATTAGATATGTGTCTCACTGCAAATCGTCTGTGCAGAATATCTTTAACTTGCACAGAGAATATTGCTGGAATTTTACTAAAGAGTGTGATTTCCTATCATTAAGATTTTAAGAAAATTTATAAATGATTAGCTGTTAAATTAATTTCTTCTACTTATATAAGAATTAAAATTAAGGTGACATTAATTAATTAAGAATAAATTAGTTCATTCATCATCCTTATTTAGATATTTGACCATATATGTATTCTCTAATTCGTAACCCAATTTTCTGTAATAATGTCTGGTACCCACTCCTGAGATTACTGCAAGTTTATTCGATCCATGCTCCTCTTTTGCGATCCTTTCAGCTTCCTCCATCAGCATGGTACCAAATCCTTAATGTTAGAATTTATTTGGATCTCTTGAATGAATAGGCACAATACTTCCGTAGACATGAAGTTCTCTGACTATTGAAGCTCCGACAAGCTCAGGCTTAAATGTGCCATGCTCTGAGCATTTTCTAAGTCTAAGCAGACCAATCAAAATATCCTGCTTAGGATCTTCATAAGCAATAAATGTCTCCCACCCCCCATTAGCATAATAATCTCTTCGGATAAGCTCCACATTCTCTGGAGTAACTTTATTATGAATCTCTTGAATTCCTACTTCTCTAGTCCTCACATCTCTGCAGGGTAGATTTAAGTCCTTCATTCTTTTAATTGCAAGTTCTCTTAAATTACCATGTTCAACACCTGATGTTACAATAGGCATTGGAATATCTCTTTGGACTCTGTAAATTCTAACCCAGGGAGGTACTAATGCCAAGATCTTTGCAACCAAGTCGATTAAAGTATTTGGATCGTAGTTCTTGTATTTTCCTGTTTTCCATAGCTCATACAATCCTGTGCCTCTGATAACTAGAGTTGGATATACCTTGAGACCATCAGTCCTAAAATCTGGGTTTTCAAAGTACTCCTTAAATCCCTCAATATCTCTTTCAAGTCCCATATTAGGCAAATCAGGCATCATATGAGCAATTACCTTGAAACCACAATCTTTGGCAAGTTGGAAACATTAACTGACAGCATTGACTGTGTGACCTCTATTGGTATCTCTAGCTATATCCTCATAAATACTTTGAACTCCAATTTCAATTCTAGTGCAGCCATATTGAAGCATATCGTTAAGATGAGGCTTTAAACAATAGTCTGGTCTAGTTTCAATAGTAATACCAATACACTTTGACTTGCTTTATTCTGAATAAGCAATGGCTTCTTCAATGGAATTAGAACTGTGGCCAGATAGCGCATCATGTAGATTTCTGATGAAGTAATCTCTGTAATTTTAATCTAAGCTGAGGAAAGTACCACCCATGACAATAAACTCTACTTTATCAGTATCGTGACCTAGTCTCTTTAGTTATTCAACTCTGTCTCTTGTCTAGAGATATGGATTATATCTAGCTCTAATAGCTCTCATAGAAGTTGGCTCATACCCAGTGTAACTTTAAGTAGAATACTCGAAATCTGAGTCAGGCCCACCTGGACAATAAACGCAAATATTTCCAGTCATTGCAATATGAGGACATCTGTGAGGCTTACTCATAACTGCAACTACAGCTACTCCACTAGCAGTCCTGACTGGCTTTCCCTTAAGAATAGGATTCAATTTATCTTTGTAATTATCTGGTAATCCAGCTAAAATATCTACAATCTTTGGCATTCTTTTTAGCTTGTTCTTTGCAGCTATTTTAGTTTTAAGCTTAGTGAGATTGATTTGCTCTCCTCTGTCATAAGACTGAATAAGTAAAGTAACGATCTCTGATATAGTCTTGATCATCAAAGAATGTTCATCTATTTAACTCATTAAAATGATGATAGATTGGAAAATCCATAGATATATCTATAGAATTGAAAGGGGACTTACCAGCAGTAGATGCCATTTTATAAGTGAATAATTAATATAATAACAAAATGATAGCGTTGAGAGATAAATAATTAACCTTTCCAATCACTTTTAATAATTCTTTATTATTATAAGTCAGAAATTTTAATTGCTTCAATGGCTAGTTTGAGATAAGAAAGAACACCCCTATCGAAGTCTAAGGGTGCCGTTAAGAACCTTACGCATATCTTCTTAAAGTTAAAACACAAGGAACTAGTATATGATTCAAAGGACAGGTAAAATACAGAAATATATATAACTGATTAAAGGTTTCGCCCTTTGAAGACCAATTTTCTTTCCTCAATGAATGGACAATCAACTTCAAATGACTCTAGTGGTACTTACAGTGGACTATCCTCGCCATAGGAACTTGAGAAAGTAAATGATAATGTGAAACTGCTGCCAATGTCCACTAAAGCATCAAGTGAAGATTCGTCAATTGAATATGGAAAGAGGTTTTTACCCCCTATCTGGGTTGATATCTAGGAGGAAATAGAAAGACACATAGAAGAGATCAATACTAAAAGTACACATTCACTTACTACGAATAAATAATAATATGATATTTTAGTGAATGAACTGAAAAAATTACAGCAGAAGCGTTTGAAAGTAAACTTCCTAGACGATGATGATGATGAGTCAACTAATGTACTGTAAAAGCAAATATATTAGGTTACCGAGGATATAACTGATGTAAGACTAATAGTTCCTAATTGACTAAATTTGTCATTAATCTTATGCATTTGTTTTAGTTAGTAAGAGCAAGTGATACAAAACTTAAAGAGCTTATTAAGTTTAAGTCAGATGAGAAATACGATGATCAAAGTAAATATAGCAGATGTTAACATAAATTTTATCATAGTCAGAAAGAACATATAAATATCATTAGCGACCAGACTAAAAGAAGTGACTATGAAACTTAGGAAAAGAGAGAAAAAGCATTATCTGAAGGTTTAAGAGATTCATGACGAAGGAGGGTAAAAGGATCATGGTGGGGATAATATGGATAACTTTTTGAATGATTAATCATAAATGCAAGTGCTCGAAGAAGATGAAGAAATCGATTAGACTTAGAGAACAAGAAATAAAGAAATCAAGAATATAGTGAACACCATAAATGACCTAGCTGTGTTATTTAAGGACTTGTCAGTACTCGTAGTTGAGCAAGGCTCTATCCTAGATCGAATAGACTACAATGTGGAGTGTGCACATTAGGACGTAGTCCAGGCTAATGTTCATTTAGAAAAAACAGTTAAAATCGAAAAATCTTTTAGGTCCAAAGGTGTACTTGGTTGTCTGATTGTGTCTATATTACTAAGCTTGATAATTCTAGCAGCAAAACACTCATGAATATATATCATCTTCTATAAATTAGATTTTAAGATTATAACCAGTTCTAATTTCTTTTTACATTTTATCTGCACGGGGTTTTGGGGTTTTGGGGTTTTGGGG